TAAAAAAAAAAAAAATAGAAAAAAAAAAAACAGTTGACTGTATGTTTGGGAATTTATTTCTGGGGACACTATTCTGGTCCATTGGTCCACATGTCTGTTTCTGTACCAGTACCATGCTGTTTTGATTACCACAGCTTTGTAGTATATTTTTGGGTGAGGGAGTGAGATGCCACCCATTCCACTCTTCTTGTGTGGAATTGCTTTGGCAATACAGGGTCTTTTATGATTTCAGATGAATTTTATGATTGTCTTTTCTAGATCTGTGAAGAATGTGTCTGGCACTTTGGTTAGCATTGCATAAAATAAGTAGATTAATTTAGGTAGAATTGCCATTTTGATTATATCAATTCTTCCAACCCAGGAACATGGGATGTCCTTCCACTTCATTGTGCCTTCTTCAACTTCTTTTTTCAGCTTCTCATGGTTTTCCTTGTGGAGGTCTTTAACTTCTTTGGTTAAATTTATTCCTAAATATGTTATACTCTTTGTGGCTATGGTAAATGGAATAATTTTTTTCAGTTCTATCTCAATCTGCCTGTTATTTGTATATAGAAATGCTATCAATTTCTGTATATTGATTTTATATCCTGCAACTTTACTGTAATCATGTATTACTTCCAGTAATTTTTCTATGGAGACCATTGGGTCGTCTATGTATACAATCATGTCATTTGCAAATAGAGTTTCACCTCTTCTCCTATTCAGATGCTTTTTATTTTTTCCTTTTTTCTGATTGTGTTGGACTTCCAGTGCTATATTAAAAAGGAGTGGAAAAAGTGGGCATCCTTGTCTTGTTACTGTGTTTAGTGTGAAAGCTTTCAACTTTTCTCCATTCAGGACGATGTTCGCTATGGGTTTTTCATAGATAGCTTTTATTGTGTTGAGTAATGGCCTTTCTATGCTGATTTTGCTGAGTGTCTTTATCATGAAGGGATGTTGTATCTTATCAAATGCTTTTTCTGCCTCAATTGATATGACCATATGGTTTTTTTTTTCTTTTTTTTCACACGCACATGCGCCCGGCGTGAGTTTAAGCCACTGGGTCCGAGACTTGAACTGCGGTCGACTACGTGGGAGTCCAGCGACATAGCCATTACACTAACTGCTGGTCCCATGACCATATGGTTTTTATCTTTATTTCTGTTAATATGATGTATTACATTTATGGTTTTGCGTATGTTGAACCAACCTTGCATTCCTGGAATAAAGCCTACCTGATCATGGTGTATGATTTTTTTTATAAGTTGTTGAATACCATTTGCTAGTATCTTGTTGAGAATCTTTGCATCTATATTCATTAGAGATATTGGTCTATAGTTTTCCTTCCTTGTCCTGTCCTTATCAGTTTTAAGGATAAGGGTGATAGAGGCTTCATAGAATGAATTAGGGAGAGATTCACCCTTTTGGATCTTTAGAAATAACTTGAGCAGAATGGGAGTTAACTCTTCTTTGAAAGTTTTATAGAATTCACAGGTGAATCTATCAGGGCCAGGGCTTTTCTTTGTTGGGAGTTTATTTATTACTGATTCAATCTCCTGGCTTTTTGTGGGCCTATTCAGACTTTCTGTATCCTCCTGGCTTATTCTTGGTAGGTTATATGTGTCCAGGGATTTGTCCATCTCATCCAGATTGTCTTGTTTCTTAGCATATAGATGTTCAAAGTATCCTATAATGATGTTTTGAATTTCTACTATGTCTGTTCTTATATTACCAGCTTCATTGCAGATTTGATTCACCTGGTTCCTTTCTCTCTTTTTACTAAGTCTTGCTAGTGGTGTACTGATTTTTTTTTATCCCTTCAAAGAACCACCTTTTACTTTCATTTATTTTCTGTATATTATGTTTGTTTTCTATTTCATTTATTTCTGATCAGATCTTTATTTCCTTTCTCCTGGAGTTTTTTAGATTTTTTTTTTTTTTTTTGCTGCTGTTTTTTCAATTCTCTGAGCCATGATGTTAGGTGATACATTTGCCTTCTTTCCGTCTTCCTCTTATGTGGACTAATTGCTACAAAATTCCCTCTTATGACTGCTTTAGTGGTGTCCCAAAAATTATGGAAACTCATGTCCTCATTGTCACTGGCTTCCATGAATCTTTTTATTTCAGTCTTTATTTCATCATTAGTTGTGGAGTCATTCAGGAGTACATAATTTAGTTTCCATGTGTGTGAGAATTTCTGAGGATTTCTTTTGAAATTATACTCAAGTTTAATTCCATCATGGTCAGAGAAGATGCTGGATATAGTTTCTATGCCTTTGAATCTGTAGAGGCTTGCTTTGTGTCCTATGATGTGGTCAATCTTTGAAAAGGTTCCATGTGGGGGTGAGAAAAAAGTGTACCTCGT